CATCGCACACACGGTTCCCCGCGCCTGCCCTGCCTCTGCCTCTCCTGAGTGTCCACCTTCTGGCCTCAACAGTGCAGCTCATGCAAGGTTCTCAGCATGCAAAACACAAGAGGAACGGAGCGGAGGGGTCGGGGGCTGACAGGAAGAGGGCTCCAGGACGGGCACGGGGGCTGGCATCGCTCCCCTCCAGGGACGGACGATCCCGGCAGAGAGAAGAGAGAGGGTGGGCCCCGGGAGGCCCCGCTAGGGCCGGCCCCGCAGCCCAGGCCCCCAGCGTGGGGGTGAGTGAGGGGATGGAGGGGGCACACGGCACACAGATGGGGATGGGGGCGGGGCAGGACAACTGAACTCAAAACTAAACCGAAGAAAGGGAAGAAAAAAAAAGAAATAAAAAACAAAATCCACAAATGTCATTAGATACCAAAATCAAAAACAATGTCTGAACTCCTGGGGAACTGACATTTTTCTGTTAACATTTTTCTGTCTTTGTTTTCCGGCCCTGCAGAGACCTGTGGAGCTGTCAGTAGCGCCCTACTGTCTTTCTGTTTCTCTCTTTTCTTTTCTTTTCTTTTTTTTTTTAGGTTCTGATTTTTTTAAGTCCCTCTTGGTTAACGTCCACTTACCAATAAAGTGGCACTTCCTCCTTTAGTAGGTAAGATGTGTAAGAGAAGGGAAAAGTGTGGTAGCGTAAGTTCATCATTAGATTCACAAAAATGCAAGAGAGATAGAGAGAGAGAGAGAGGAAAACTCAACCACCCCATTCTAGGCCTAGAGGCCACACTGCCTCTGGAGGAAGGACTGGCAGTGCCTGGCTCCTTGGGCCTGAGCAAGCCCCTCCTGGGTAACCATGACCTTTGGATAGAGATGTCACATGTTTTTCCAAAAATGGAGTTAGGACACAAGGATCTGGATACAGAAAACCAGAAAGGACACCTGGTACCTCCAAAAGGGCCCTGACTGGAAATCGGGGTCCAAGAACCTACCACTACCTTACTTAGGGACCCCGGCCAAGTAACGTCTGCTGACTGGGCCTGTTTCCCCAACCACAGAGAGAGAGCATTGGGCTTTGCTTCCTGATGCTCCTTCCAGAGCAAATATTCCGGGATTCTTTGCATGCCCCCTGACCACCCTCTCCACCCCCCTCCCTCCAGAGAACTGACCCTCCTCCTGTGCCTGGGCTTTCATCTGGTAACAGTTGATTGATTACACTTGTCTGTTTATAAGTCTGTCCATCACTCTTACCCCGCCCCCAATAACAGCACCAACTTGACTTTGACTACCCCCAGGGCAGATTTGGTGTCAATTCACCTCTGTAACCTGAGTTTTTATCACAGAATTTGGCACCTAATAGGGCCTCAATGCTGTTTGCTGAGGAAGAAAGGTCCTTACAAGGGCCAAGGCTAAACCAGGAAGTCTTAGATCAGGGGCAGGGTCTAGGCCCAGTTCTTTTGACAGACAGGCTCTTAGGTGAGATAACCTTGCTGCCAAGGGCTGGAAGGAGTGTGGTTGGCATGACCCTTGTGCTTCCTACAGGGGGCAGGGTGGTGCCAAGGCCATTGTGTACAATCCTGGATCCAGCCTGGGCATGAAGGTAGAGCCAAGAAGTCAGCCCCTTTGGTGGAGACGCATAGCCAGCTCGTGAAGCAGCCAATGAACACCAACCATAGAAGGGGAAAGCAGCTGATCAGAGCCAGATGGGCCATGAAGACCTCCTCCTGGAAGAGCCTGGTGTCTCTCTTTGGGGCAGAGGCAGGCATAGGTGGGCCAAGTAGATATTACCAGGTACCAAGGTACCCTTTGAGCACCCTTACTCTAGCTAGGCCAAGAGACATGGAGGCTGGGTTGTTCAGCCATGGCCCCTCTGAGTATCATTTCATTCGCAATAGATATTACCAGGGACCCTTGGCTCCCCAGCACATATGCCCTCCACCCCTGCCGGTATAGCTCCCAAGCCCTCAGCACTAGGTTCTGTCATCCAGCATCCTTTTCCTTCCAGAGAAGGCAAATGAAAAAGAAGTCTCCAGGTTCCCCAAATGTCCAGTATCTTTTCTATCCCCTGGGTTGTCAGAGTGTAGAACAGATACTAGGTGTGGGGGGGGGGGTGCCCTGGCAGCCAATGCATAGTACTCACACCTAAGGAGACACTGGACCCCACCTTTTCAAAGCCTTTGCTTGCCACTTTGGCGGCGGTGGTAGGGGTAGCAAGGCAAGTAGGCAGAATACTAAACTTGGGAATTAGGATCTGAATGTGAATTCTGCTCCAACCCAGACTCTGGATCTAAGCCACTATTTCTGACTCCAGGGGAGAGGCCAGCAGGGAAGGAAGAATACCAAGGGCTACCATGTTCTTTCCCACAGGCGCTCAAGGCCCTCTATACTTCCCACTGTTGGTCTGGGAGTATTAGGAATAAAAAGGGTCTGGGTTGGGTGGATGCCCACCCCCATGATGTTGCTGTCCCTAACCATTGAGGCGCAAGTCCCTGGGCCAGACCCCTTGTGCTGAGCTGGACCCTTCCTGTCTGGCTGGTCTTGAAGTCCAATCTCTTTTCCATTTCCCTCTCACCTCCTCCAAGCCAATTGGCTGCCATAATCCAAGATGCTGGTAATTGGCAAAGTGAACACACTGGAATCAACCCTGATGTGAACTTGCTGTGAGGCCTTAAAGAAGTGACTTACCTCTGAGGCCTCAGTTTTCCCATTGGGAAAATGGTCATAACTGAATCTTTCTAACAGGGTGGGCCTGTTCAGGGGTCGAGAGGTTCTTTACGGAGTACAAATGACTCACTGTTTCCGCAGAGACAAACAGGGTCGGAGGAGTGCAGGAGGCCTCGGGCTCCGTAACATGTCCCCTAAGTGCCAGGACGATGGAGGGTGGGAGGAAGATGTTGCTAGGTAGGTGGCATATAGTGCCTTCCCTCAGGGGAAGACTCTGGGGGCCGATCTCACCCTTACCCACCCATCCCTCCAGAAGTCCTTATGAAAGGATTGCCATGACCCTGCCAGAGGGTGATCCTCATCCTCAGCTTGGCTGGGCCTCATTCTTCAGGAATTGAGGAAGATACGGGCCCAGACACCATGGATCTCACTGCCAGATAGGACTGGTGGCCAGGGACCACCACGCATCTCTCAAAGCCTGTTCTGTGTGAGTCCTGTCACTCTTGCCTGGAACTATTCTCCCCTCTTCCCTCTCCTCTCTCTCACAGTCTGGTTAATGTTTCTTTCTTCTTTACAGTCAGCCCAAGGCCGCCACCTCCAGGAAGCCTCCCCTGAGCCTCACCCTGAGTCAGGCGCACTCCTCTCTGGTCCCACAGACCCTTGTTCCTTCCTTCAGTTTGGGTTGTGCCAGCATATGCTAAGGCTGGGGCTACCCTGATGGGCAGAGCTCCCCATCCATGGTTCAGCTTGTCCCCTCTCAGGTCTGCCTGCCTCGACCCTGGCATGGATACTCAGACAGGGCCTGGCACGGAGGAGTGCTCAGCAAATGCTTGCTGTGTGTGTGAATGAATGGATTAGTGAGTGAGGCTAGACCTCACCTGACTCTGAGCCCTACTCCCAGGAGCCCCTCTGCTCCTTGGTACCACCTGCTCCCAGATACCTTTTTTTTTTTTAAGTTTCTTAATTGTTTTAATAAAACTTTACCTCGGGTTCAATTTATATGATACCTAAATAACCATTTGATTCAGTTAATTTGGAGAGAAAAAAGTACAATGATATTGGGTGATCACTGACTTCCTAGCCAACATCTTTTCTTTTTGCTTACGTAAGAAATTTTTGAGGTGAAAAGACAAGGGGAAGAGAGCAGCAAGGGACAGTGTGGTTGCCTGAGCCTGGTATTCCTACAGATAAGAATAAGTGAGCATCTGGGGCAATTAGCCCCTCCAGCTCAGCATTTGAGGATCCTGTGTCTGGGTGCCTGGTCGCATCAGGTACTCCTTGAGGAGGGGCCTCCACTCCTCCATCGGACCAGCAGCGCTCTCTCCCTCCATGAACAATTTCCTTGTCTGCCCTCCTAGCACCACCAGGATTGAAGAATGTTCTGAGACGGTGAGCTACTGGGGACTTGCCCCTAGGGTCAACATGGGGGAAGATGAGCCCTTCTTTTATCAAAGATGAGGTCCAGGGAGGCCTCACAGGGTTGGGATGTCAAACTTCTGTAGCTGCGTCTAGGTGGGAAGAAAACAGTTTAAAGGGCAGAGATGGGGAGATGAGCTTTTTGAGGACCTACCTCTGTGGCTGGATGAGCACTGGGCTGGAAGACACAAATCCCAGGACCTAGCCTAGTTCTGCCCTAACGTTGGGGATATGTGGCCTCCACTGATTATTCTTTCTGGATCATTCTGCACATTAAACTCAAATTTGGAAGGTGGAAGGATGCTGGGGGAAGGAGGGAGCCCCTTTCTAGATTGGGTAGTGGTCCAGAGAGCAGAGGGTTAGCTGAGAGTTCCTTCCATCCCCCACAGAGACTTTTTTAAGTAGAACTAATAAGTCCAGTGCCTACTCCTGCAGTTCACTCCCCACCCAAAGCCCAACCACCATCACACCCCAAAACGGAGCTGTGGGATTTAGTCCTGGTGTCAGCTGCTGCCCCAAAGTCCTGCTCCCACCCTCAAGCTCTGCCTTCAGCCAGGGCAGCACCTGCAGGAGCCCAGCAGGCCCCAGAGGATGGGAAAGGGCTCTCTTCCCAGGCCTGACCTCAGCCAGAACTTCCTCCAGGATCCGGAGGGCAAAGGCCCAGCACAGGCCCCTCCAACAAAGATTTATTGCTCAAATCACCCCAGGGGCTGGCAGGGGTGAGGGGTGAGAGGCTTAGCAGTTACTCCAGACAACAGAAATCAAATTGGCTCAACCACAGCATAGAGTTCAGGATGGGAACACAAACTTGGAATGCTAAACCACACAGAAATGCATTCAGACAACAAAATGAGAGAGAGCATGAAGGAGGATTGGGAGGTGGGGGTGGAGGTGGGGTGGAGAGGAAGAAGGAGCAGGGAAGGTGGGAATGAGGGAGGAATGAACCAGAAAAGTTGTTGTTGGGGGGTGGAGGGAGGTAGTCAAGAAAACCAAACGACAAACCAGGAAACACAGCTTTGTAGCTCATTTGGAGAAAATGCAAGTTACAAATGAGTAGTCACTAAAATAAAGAAAGAAAAGGGAAGGGAAGAAAACCAACCAGAGTGAGACTGAGAGAAAGAGGAAGAAAACCACATTCAAACCAAGCAGAGTGGCAGGGCTTATCTGGAGATGGGAGCAGCGAGCGCACAGCTGAGCTGGGATACCTACCTTCTCAGTGGTCAGGGACGGGAATGCAATAATAAAAAAGAAAAGAAGGTCTCCGCATTGGGAATGCAGAATGGGGAAAGACAGTGACTTTGAGCTGCGCTCCCCCTCTGAGTTGGCATATGGCAGCTAAGTGTGGCTTTTGGTCTAGTCCCAGGGACAGCAGGGGCCTCCTGCCCAGCCATTTCTGTTTGCTTTCCCCCCTCCCACCACAGGTTCCAATAGCCAAGCTTTTCTTAACTCTTTAAACAACAGAAAACCTCCAGAGGGCATGCAGGAAGCAGCTGATGGGAGCAGAACCACAGGGCGGGTGAAGGAGGGGCTTGCAGCCTGGGGAGAGAGGCCCATTTCAGGGGGGTATGGAGAGAAAGAGACAGAGAGGCTCAAGGAGAGAGAGAAAGAGAGAGAGAGAGAGAGAGAGAGAGAGAGAGAGAGAGAGAGACAGAGAGACAGAGAGACAGAGAAGCAAAGGCAGGAGGAAGAAGGAAATAGAGGCACAGAGAAAGGTGGACCCAGCCAGAAAGAAGGAGAAGCTGTTTAAACAAGGCCAACCAGAGTGGACAGATGGGGTGAAGTGGGAACTGTGCATTTAAAAGGGAAGGCAACCACAGATTCAATGTGGAGGACTGATCCTGCCTCAAGTCAACCTTATTCCCTTTCCCCCTGGCTTCAGCACCATTTAGCAAAATTCATCCCTCCTGCTTTCTGGCTTCAGCCTAGAAGAAATGCCAAGGTGTCCCTTCCTAGTCTCACTTCCCCACTCCAGCCATGGTCACTGCTCTCCCCTGGGGTGTCGAGGAGAGAGGCCTGGATGAGACAGGTCAGGCAGTGCCATGGACACCTCTTCTTGGGGTCACTCTAGGCTTCCCATTTTGAGATGAACTTTGAACCAGAGGCCGAGGCCAGAGAGCCTGGGGGCCTTGCTCATGAAGCATCTCAGCAAATGGTGAGGCTTCCCTCAACACTTCCAATGCTAGGGCCAGGGGGAGCCAAGGAAGGGGGCCCCACTCCTAAGGCTGCAATCCCCGCACACCCTCTCTGGCCAGTTCACTGGGCTTTGGGCTCAGTATCTTACTTTTCTACCCCACATTGCGTGACCTTGAGCAGCTTCCTTTCCCTCATTGTGCCTCATTATTTCTTTCCCCACATGGGGGTGAACTGTGAGGGCTTAGGGTTCCCCGAGTTGCTAAAGCTGCAGTCATATAAAGTTGTGCAACACCAGGCTCACCTATACCCTGGGGAGTTCAGAGAGCCAACAACATCTAGAGGGGTCCCCAGGGGAGAGGTAAGAGCTGAGACCCCCAGAATCCACTTCCCAAATCCTCCTCCTCCTCCTCCTCCTCCTCTTCCTCTTATTCAGGTTCCTGAAGTGTGCTTCCCGTTGACTACCATCTCCACATCTTGGCTGTGGCCGGGGTCTTGAGGTTAGAGGGTCTCCTTTTTAGGTCTGCCTCTAAAATGCTGTGTGTCTTGAGCTGGTCATTTGATCTCTGTGAGCTGCAGAGAGCAGTAGGCAGCAGAACCCAGAAATCCCTTTGGGGGTTCAGCCCTGGCCTGGGATGGGACAACAAAGAGATGTTGGGAGCCAGCATCCTATGGCCTCAGTCTCAAAACCAGGATGGATTTTTTCTTTCTCCTGGTTGGGAGTGTCTGGCTTTGAAGCCCTCACCTGAGCTAAACTCTCTCCGGTGTCTTCAGCACCCTCTTCCAGGCTCGCCCTGCCATGCCCAGCCGTTATCTTATGCTAGACAGAACCGAGGAGACACAGGAAGCTCACTGCTCTGGGAAGGTCCCTGGGTGACTGGGACAAGTCCCTCCCTCCTTGGGTCCCCAGCTTCTCTCCAAAGTTCCTTATAGACAGGGACCCAGAGTAAGGTCTGCACCACTTTTGTTCATTTGAAAGCTGAGGCAGTTCCACCAGTGCCCTTTGCCTGGGGTTGAGGGAAGGGATGGCTGCTGCTGCAGATTTGGCAGAAGCTGTTGGCCTGGGAAACGATTTTTAAGTGTTATCTTCCCTTTTAAATTCTGATTACAAAGGAAAAATAATTATATAGAGGTATGTATATGATTAATGTTCACTGAAATTCAAACACCATTTCTGCATTAGGAGGAGAGGCTCCCACAGTAACGCACAAAAGCAAAATTCTAGAACAACAGAGAAGATAGAAAAAAACCCAGAGAGATAGTTTGCATTTCTGTACATTACAAAAGAAAAAAAAAGGAAAAGAAAATACAAACAAAAAATGAAATAAAATAACAGGAAGAGTTACAGAAACTTCCCCACCCTCTTCCCTTGCCACTAAACAAGAAATGGAATCACAATATTACCACGTTTCAAATGGGAGGCTAAAAACAAAAACAAAAACAGAAACATAGACGGGGTTAAGAATGGTGAGTTTTTCTTTTTCCATTTGTCTCTCTCTCTTTTTTTAAAGGTGAGAGTCCAAGAATACCACCCCCAGTGCTTTTCCCAAAAAACATTTTTGGTTAATGGCAAAGTCTATGACCCCCATCTCACCTCCCAGGAGGCAAGAGAGAACCAGCCTCATCTCACTTTAAGAGAGGCTCTAAGGGCAAGGAGGGGATCTGGGTGCAGGTGAGAGGCAGGGGATGCTCAGCAGTCTTTGAACTCCCAGAGCCCAGAGGGTAGAGAGAGAATTGGGGGACCATGTTTTGTGAAAGGAGTAACGAAGTGCTGCCTCCCAGGAAACTCCCAGGGCAATGTCAAAATGGAGTCCCACTTTGGGAGGGAGAAGATTGGGGTGCTGCCAAGGCTTCCTCCCCAGGCCAGCGGCTAGGCCACCTTCCCTGACTGCTTACTCCTAGGGTCTACCTAGTTGCTGTGACCATTTTGTTTGCACATGCTCAGGGCCCTTGTGGGGGCTACTGCTTAGGCATCCAAGGCTGGGGAGGGGACCAGCAGTGGGAAGGGGCCTCCTTTCCACCCTGACCTGGAAAAACATGCCTTTCGGTGCCTCCAGGAGAAGGTGTTTGGGGCACTGTGCTGCTCAGGCTTTGTGCCCATGGGGTAGGACATTGGGCATCATGTCTCAGACCTGTCCCTGTCCTGTTTGCCCTCAGCTACCTCTGCGTGCTCTCTCCCACACCCAGGACAGATCCAGAGACATTGGTGTGATCCTTCCCACGTGGCCCGACCAGGCCCCTCAGCGCTCAAGAGCCTGGCACCCTGTCCAGGAGGGGCAGTTTCCACACAGGTAATGTCCTTAAACAAAAATTAACCTTGAGACCAAAAGCCTTTTGTCAGGTGCCCTTTGACTTTCCTTGCTGAGGTCCTGGACTAAGGGTATTTGAGAAAAGAAAGGGAGTGAAACGAAAACAGCCAAAAAGCAAAACGAAACTGACATGTACAGGTTTGCTGCTGAGACCTGAGGTCTGGGGAGGAGCAGCGCTCCCTCCCTGCTAGGGTTTCTGGGCTGCCTGTGGTGTGTGTGTGTGTGTGTGTGTGTGTGTGTGTGTGTGTGTGTAGGGGGGACGGCACCTGCAGACTGCCCACCCTAAGTCCCCTGTGCCCTCCCACTGCCCCTGTCAGTGCTGTAGTCCCTTCTCCCTGAGGGGGCCTCTACACTGTACTCTAATATCAACAGACAAAAATGGGGCTCCAGGCCTCTCCTGGGGTCTAGGAGAACCCCTACCATCCAGCTGCGAGCTCCTACAATCACCACACCTGCCCACGGGTTTCAAGAAATCTGTGCGCCTCCTGGAGAATGGATGAGGGCAGTTTTTGGGGTGGTGTTGGTGTGGTCTCCCAGGGAGCAATGGGTTCCCTGGGAGGTGCCTTAGGAAAGATGGGGAGTGGAACCCCCAGGTTTGAGACATCTGTCCAGATGAGGGCAGTGGCTGGGAAAAGGACCTTAGAAATGCAGCTCTGTTGTGGCAAGGGGACTGGGGGGGGGGCGGGGGTGTCTAGTGAGGGGCTGAGGGGCAGAGAGCACTCAGAGAGGGGGAAAGGCTTGGTGAGGAGAGGGAGGCTTAGGGCCCAAGTGATGCCCAGGGGAGTCCTGTCTCAGTGGCCACGCCCCCTCCCTCCTCAATATGCCTGGGGGAGGGAGGCAAGAGATCTTGGCTCCTCTTCAGCTCCTTACCTAAATGGCTGAGTGTCGCGGTGGTAACCCTCTCTGACCTTCACTTTCCCAAGCTCAAGGGTGGCCCAAGCCTGCAGCACCCCCACCCACCCACCCAGGCCACTAGAGCCAGGTGGGCATAACAACCAAGCACTCCAAGCCGCTCCCATTCAAGGGAGGGCGCAGGGGAGGGGGAAGCGGCGGCCTGAGGAAGGCGTGCAGCGTCCCCGCCCCGTTACACGCTCACTGCCTCCCCGCGCGGCAGCGACTCCCCCGCCCCAGCAAGGCGCAGCCCGCGCGCGTCGCAGGAACCCTCTGCAAAGCCAGGCATACGTACATCTGGCGGGCTCTGCGCCAAGCCCGGGCGGCCCCCCTGCGCTCCGCTCCGCTGCCGGCTGCCTCCGTTCTGCTGGGGCGACCCCCATCCGCTGCCGCCTGACAGGGAAGGCGATCGGCTCCCGCTGGACCGCTGGCTGCCCGTCTTCCGACCTTCGCCTCGGGGCTTGGGGCTCAGCCTGGGGCAGGGGAGGTGAGGAGAGCCGGCGTGGGACGCTCCTCTACTAGAGGCCGCTTCCCGCAGGAAGGGCAGCTCCCTACCCGCCTTTGCACTGGGCCGGGAACGTTTCTATTTAGAGAGCCAAGCCCCACGCACACTGCCTTGATTTCCATTCAAGGTTTGGGATGCCTAGCCCAGTTCCAAGTTGGCACTGGCCCTGCCCTGGTAAACTACCCACTGATTAATTGCTGCTTGTCTACCAGCCGGGCTCCCCAGCCTCGAGTATATTTAATACGCAGAAAGCCGGGCTCAGCCACAACCGGAGTGCTCCCAAGGGCCCGGGAGTTACCTGCTGGGCGATCTGGAATCACTGTCCTGGGAGGAGAGTGAGGGGCTGTGGGAACTTCCGCTGCTGTGGCGATGGGACCTCCGGCCTGGGGACTCGTGTGGCCTGGGAGAGAAACCAGCCTGTACCTAAGTTCTGTTTCCTGATGGAAGCCACAGCTGACCAATTTCCCCTCCCCAAGTCTCCTACAAAAATAATGCAAAGGCTGTCCACACTGGTGCAAAGCCCAGCCAGGACCTGTGGGCCATTGGTGGGAATTAGGAGAAGGTGCTTTTTTCTCCAGATAGCCCCAGCCCCCCAAGACCTCAATCGTCCTTCAGCTGTTGTTCTTGTGACCCTGGAGAGGTGCAGGGGAGTTACAAGCACTGAGCTTGAAAAGACCCTGGACCCGGAGGCAAGAGGCCTGGATTCCAGTTCCAGCTCTGCCACTGACTCCACTCTGGAGGGCTCTTGGCTTCCTCTCTGGGTCTGAATGTTTCCACCTGGGCAGGGGGTACAAAATGAACTACCTTCAAGAGCCTGATTCTGTGATTCCAGGGGGCCGGGTTTGCTGTGTGGGAAGAAGGGCTGAGGAGCTGGAAAATGGGGAAGAGTGCTCACCTCTTCCTCTCTTTGTTCTTCTCTTTTCTTTTGCTCTTGGGGCTTCGAGATCTACAGAAAGCAGAGGCTAGGTGACAGCACAGCCTGAGTCAGGCAGGGGAGAGTGAGCCTCCAGGGAGCCCAGCTGTCCTATGTGTGAACCTGAGGTTTGTTCCCCCCTCTGACCTGAGCCTTTCTGGCAGATAAGGAATTGCCCATCCCACTCCATGCTCTGGTTCCTTCAATTCTGCCAAGTCTGTTCCTTCCTTCTCCAGTAGATCCTGGCCCATGATCACCTTCTGCCCGGGCCCTAACTGCTGCTCCCTCTGGGAGTGCTAAATGGTGATGTGGCCACAGACCCAGAAGGAAGGCTGACCTGCCCTTACTGGTATCTTCTGCATCAGTCTTGGGACAGGCCCCTCTGATGAGTTATCAGGGTGGTGAGTGGCCCTCCACACTTCATTTGTGTTCCCTATGCCCTAGGTCTCCTCAAATGGGGCTGCCCAGACAGAGCTCAAGCCTCCTGCTTCTCTGTTCTCTAGACTGTGGCCCAGCCCAGGGTCAGTCACCAGGGGCTTAGAAAATAAATGCTTTCCCTTGGGTGTGATTTTCCTGCCCTTGGGCAGGATCTCCCTGCTTTTGGATTACTCCTCTGGACCCCTATCCCATCCCGTCCAGCTCTCTGGGGTGGGCCCCACAGCCCAATTCCTGCCTTTGACAAAAGGATTGAGAGCCTTCTGATTAGCCCTCTAAGGTCTTACCTCATGCTGGGTCCCGTAGGTCTCTCAGCCCCACCTCCCTGATGCCACCAAATTCTGACTCAATCCTCTAGTCCTGAACAGATGCTTTCTTCTGACCAAAAATGAGGTGATGCTAAGAAACACTGGGAGGTATTTCTCACAGGATCAAAAGGAATGGGAGGCATATCTGGGACGGGGCGGGGACGGAGTGCAGGGGCAAAAGTTTGGGTGAAGAACCCATGTTGTATGCTTGGGGCCTCAGTCTCCCCATCTGGAGCTAGCTAGCCTAGCTCATCTCTAGGTCCTTCCCGGGACTGACAGGTGCTTGCCAGAGGATCTGGACAAGCTGATGGGACACACTGAGGGCAGCAGGGGCCAACACTGGCCTGGAAGGACTGGGGGAGGGGAAGAGGAGACTGGGGAGATGGGAGGGCCAGGAGTAGGTGTCCAATGAAGCTCCTTCCCCCCCCGGCAAATGGCCACGGGCAAATACACACCGCAACGATGGGGCCGGGGACTCTGCTCCTCCTCAGGGCTGCTGGGAGGGGCTCTGGCTCTCATGCCAACCGCAGGGATGTGACTGCCCCACATCTTTCCCTCCACGCTGAGTGTTCTACTTTCTCCACCCCTGCTTCTGCCTGAGCTCCTATCTTTCACTTCCTCCTGTCCTGTCTCCCAATCCATCCTGAGTAAGTCACTGTCCTGCTTCAAAGGTTCATGTTGGCTCTCAGCCCTGCCTTGGTGGAGGCCATCTCCATAGCAGTCAGGCCTGTTGGGGGTTGGCACCTGCCCCTCAAGATTCTCCACCTCTAGCCACAGCCCACCCACTCTGTCTCTGCCAATTGAGGCGTCCTTCTATCTGGCATGCCCTTTTCCTGCAAATTCTGCCTTCTAACTGACACCTCTACGGACACACCCCTTAGACACTGGGCCTGCTGTATTGTCTGGAAATTCTTGGGGTCCCTACATCAAGGCTGACTCATGGGACAGGCAAGGATTGCAAATCACTGGTCTTCATTGTCCTCCCCCCACCCTCAGTCCCCTGCCTGGGGCTAAGAAGGAGTGCCTGGAGGGGGAGGGCAGAGCAGGGCAGGACCCTCAAAACCCCCCTCCCATCATGGCTTCCTTTGGGCTTTGGTCTCTGCAGGGGGGCACCAGCCTCTAACTTATCCTCCTATCACACCGCCACAGGGCATCGCTCACCTGTGCCGTCTCTTCCTCCTGGACCCAGAATCAGACCTGTAGGGCCATACAAGGGTTCTCTTGAGTCCATCTGGGGTGACTCAGGGACACCCAAGCAGCACAGCCCTGGTCCTGGGCCCCATGGAAGTGAGAGGAAGCCCCAGGAGAGGGGCGGTACCTGTCTTTGCGGTGCTTCTTCACACTCTTCTTCTTCTTGCGCATGGGTGAGGAGCTCCCACAGCTGCGGACAAAGGGGTGGGAGGTGGGCTCTAGTGAACTGGGGCCTGGGAGGTGGAGGGGCAGGGCAGCTGGAATGGCTAGGGAAGGCTGGGTGCCTAGGGCTCAAAGCTGGAAAGGGGATTCCAGGCCATGAAGCCAACTGCCTGCTGTACAGAGTGAACCGGGCCCAGAGGGTTGGCAAGGTCCCTGAAGGTAGTTGATGGAACTGCCCTTGTTGTCCCTGGTCACCCTTCTAGCCTCCTTGGCATTGTGAGAGGGGGCTGTTCAAATCAAAGGCTGCAATAATGGGAGTTCTGGCCTTGGTGGGGAAAAGCTGCTGGTGTCCAAGGTCCAGGCGCTGAGGTCCAAGGCCTCCTGCCTCTGGAGATGGCCTTGAATCTCACCCACCCACAGACAACCCCCCCACCCCAACCCTTCCTGGTCCTTGCCCGCCTTCATCACTGACCTGCACTCCGAGTCTAGTCTCCTCTTTTTGCTGAGGGCCAGGGGAGAAAGAAGGACAGACAGTTGGACGGGGTTAGTTGGGTCCCCAGACGATTGCCAGGGTCTCACTCAGGACAGGGGAGGGGGAACCACAGATGAGACCCTGGCAAACCCCTCCAACCCAGGCCACTCACAGAGGGGTGGGGAGGGCAGGGCTACTGGGGAAGGGCAGAGGGGTACCCATCAGGTGGACGGGGTCAGTGTGTCTAGTTCTGGGGCAGAGGGTCTGAGAAAGAGGCCAGCGTATCCGGTTCTGAGGTCTGGGGCGGGTGAGTGCCGATGTGGGGACTCAGAGGGAACGTGATGAAGGGGAGGAGCTAGTGGAGTGCGGGCCTGGTAAAAGGAAGGGGGTTGAGTGAAAGCGGGGTTAGTAGGGGGAGAGCACTTCGTTAGGGGCCGAGGCTCAGCTAGGGCGGGCTCACAAATGCGGCGGTGGGTCCCCGCAGACTCCGCGGGAGGGGAGACCCACCGCGCCCCTCCCGGCCCCCCGCAGCCGGCGGCGCTCTCACCGGCTCCTCCGGTGGCTGCCTTTCTTTTTCTTCTTCTTGGGAGGGGGCGAGGCCGAGCTGCTGGACCAGTGCTTGGTTCTGCGGGAGAAGGGGCGGGGCGGGGCGGAGGTGAGGGGGCGGGGCTGGCGGAGGTGAGGGGGCGGGGCTGGCGGAGGTGAGGGGGCGGGGCGGAGGTGAAGGGGCGGGGCTGGCGGAGGTGAGGGGGCGGGGCGGAGGTGAAGGGGCGGGGCTGGCGGAGGTGAGGGGACGGGGCGGAGGTGATGGGGCGGGGCGGAGGTGAGGGGGCGGGGCGGAGGTGAAGGGGCGGGGCTGGCGGAGGTGAGGGGACGGGGCGGAGGTGAAGGGGCGGGGCTGGCGGAGGTGAGGGGACGGGGCGGAGGTGATGGGGCGGGGCGGAGGTGAGGGGGCGGGGCGGAGGTGAAGGGGCGGGGCTGGCGGAGGTGAGGGGACGGGGCTGGGGGAGGTGAAGGGGCGGGCCCCCCCGCCCACCCGCCCACCCGCCCACCCGGGCCCTGTCCTTCCCTCCGCGCCGGGCGCTGACCTGTAGCCCCGGTGCCCGCGGTAGCAGGCGGCCGGGCAGTCGCAGTCCACCGGGCCGTCGTCCTCGTCGAAGGGCGCGTACTCCAGGCCTGGCTCGGCGCCCTCGGGCAGCCGCGGTGTCTCCGCCACGCTGCCGGCGATAGTGACGCTCAGCACCGGCCGGGCCTTCCCGCCGCCCCTTTCTCGGTGCAGCGCCCCAGGCCTGCTCCGCCCCAGAGGTCCAAGGGAGGCGGGGTGCGGCCGGCTCCGGGGTCTGCAGCCTCGACCCCTGGACGGTCAGGCGGGGATTTGGGGGATCCCGCGGGGAGCCTTCCTTACAGGACTCCCAGCCTTAACGGTGCCATATTTTGTGAAAGAGAAAAAAGAGCAGGGAGCCCTCCCCGTCTAAGTTCCCTCTACAAGCTCTCCCTCTCTCATCAGTGAGCCCCCCCCCCCCCCCGAGTGAGGCCCTCCCCTATTGAGTCCCCTTCCCGCACAGACTCTGTCCCTTAGTCCCGTTCATTGCACCCCCAATCCAGCCCTCTTTCCCGCCCCCCATTGAGCCCCTTTCACGGATCCCTGTCCCCTTTACCCTCACTGTCCCATTCTCCAGCCCCTTTCCCCTCTCTAAGCCCGCTCATCCTCTCCAGCCTTCCTTTTCCCTCACTGAGCCCCCCTCACTGATAAGGTTTTCCCTAACCCCGCTGTCCCAGTCCCTGAGCTGCCTCCCCCTGCCCACCCGACTGCCTCCCTCCCCCACACCCCTCCTTCCTCCAGCCCTGGCTGCCTCTCTAAAATATTCATAGCTTCCCCTCGCCCTCCTCTCCGCAGCCTCCAGCCTCCGGAGGCCGCCTTGCTCTTCTGCTGCCGAGCTGTCATCAATCACTGCCTGGCGGCAGCGCTCCGCCTCTGATGCTCCCCATCCATCTTGCAGAGCTCTCCCCTACACTCAGCAGGGCCCCTGGTGGTCCTGGCCCTGCTCCTGGTTCAGGAGCCCAGCCGTCAGCCAGATGTTTGCACCCTGCGGGCATGTCAGAGAATGATGCTTTTTTTCCAAAAGGCAGCTGGACTGAAGGCAAGCGCATGGGTTTTGAAGCTGCAGTTGTGTCATCATCACACACGGACCCTAAGTCATTGTATGGCCTGGTGCCTGTCTGCCCCCTCTCTGAACCTCTTCTCCAAAATGAGAGTGATAACTGTTACAGGGCTTTGGGAGAATTCGCTGAGGTAACCGGTGCTTTGCAACTTTGCTTTTTAGTAAACACGCCCAGAAGCCACCCTCTAAAAGCCCAGCTCCAGGGTACCGGTTCCAGGGTGGTGCCCCCCCAACGCCCACTATTTTTCATTCCATGCTGGCTCAGACAATGCCCTTCCTGCATGGAGGCTCAGTTACCCTCCCTCATTGCACCCCTAATCCAGCCCTCACCTGGCTGGATTCCATTCACTTGGCTCATTCTTCCCCTGCCCTGAGAGAGAGAGAAAGGCCAGGACTTGGATGGCAGAGTGTTAAAAACATGACATGAGCTTTGGATTCACACAGACAGGTCTGAATCCAGGCATGACCAAGCTCACTGAGCCTCAAGGTCCTTATCTATCCAACGAGGAAAGAATATCCCAGCTTTGAGGAGAGGATTAAGTGAGAGTCTGTCTTTGAAGCTCCTGTTGTCCCGTTGTCATCCCCCTTCCCCCCCCCCCCCCCCACACACACACTGTCACCGCTGTTAGATGGGGAGCTCAGTCTGACACTCACACACCAACACCTCCTCTTGCAGGGAGAAAAGCAGTTGTGACACATGAAAGAGATACAGGACAAGAAAGGCAGACCACAGCGACGGAGGGAAAAGAATCTTCAGAAACAAATCTCCAGCAATCTGCTAATCTAGAATCTCAGTGATGCCATCCAGTTCCCTAATGTGACCCTGGCAGCCTTGAAGTCATCCAGGTAGTACAGGAGGTTTTTCTGGAGTGATGGGGGAGAGGCTCATGTCATTCCCCCCCACCCCCACAGAGTCAAACACCCCCACATCCCTTCACTCAAACCTCTGTGCTCTCCCCACGCTCCTCTCCCAAAGCCAGTGGCCTCCCACCTCCTGTCCCTGTCCCTGAAATCCCCAACTCACCCCCCACAGCCCTCAGCCACACAAATGCCTGACACATAAAAGATAGTCTTTAGCAAAATGTAAGGGCATTCCAACATTGTTTGGAGCCAGTGAGAGAGGGGGCTTCGGCTTATCTGGACACAAAAATGAGGACGGCTGTTGACAAAATAAAGTTGCTCAGTTTGGGCACTGCCTTCTGCAGGGAGCCCTTCTTGCCTCCTAACATCCTAGCTGAGTGAGCCACTGAGTGTAGGCCCTCACTGAGCCCCACCCCTCACTGTGCCCCCCTTACTCTGCTGGCCGCCCCCTTTCTTCCTCTGTCCTGGGACAGAACTCTCTCCCCTCTACCCCATCCTCCTTCCCTAGGGCCTTGCCATTTGGCCTCTCTCATTCTTCAGTCCCTTCTGAGAGGTTTACTTGAGAGCAGGCACCGGGTATGAGTAGCAGGCTCAGGGAGAGGCACAAGGTCTCAGAACCTTCTGGTAAGACCTGTTCTGGGAGTTCCAGGGATGTCAATGGGAGTAGGCCTCTTTTGCTAGTTTTGTGGGGCTGGTACCACCACATCTGCTTTGCAAGATCTCCCAGGGTTCTCCTATCCTGCCTTTCCTAGATGACAATATCACTAACAACAATATTTTCTAATGTTTAAATAGTTCTTTGCAGTTCACAAATCCCACGTAGAGCTACTTAGAAAAATTGTCCCTCCCCCCATTTTATAGATGAGAAAATTGAGGCCCAGAGAGGTTAAGGAACATCCCCTATGGTTTGGGACCTTTGAGTAAAGAATGTGAGTTCACCTGTGCAATTGGCTTTGAGAAGTCATGTGCGAACAGGATAGCCCTTGACTTAGCGGCTGGGGTTCCCTGCTGTAGATGTTAGCTCAGCTGCCCCCTCCCTACTTTGTAGACACAGTTGAGGGGGTGTGTACTGAGCTCTAGATTTGTTTAACATTTCCTACTCTTAAGTTCATGTTTGTGGTCTAGTTTACTTCTCAGCACGTCCATGAAATCGGCAGGGGAGGCATTCCTCCCTGGGACAGAACAAATCAAGCCCAGGTAACTGACCAAAGCAGGCCCAAAGAGTCCACTGCAGAGGGACCAAGAACACATCGAGGATGGACACAGCACTACACAGGACACATGCTGGACGGGCTGCCACGGGCAAGGTTCTGACCTGGGAAAAGACCGCCTGTCACGTGCCTTCTTCCCGCCAGCAGTTTTGCTAATTAACTGGTTCTGTTTTCCATTATCCAGGAGCATAATGGCCAATTGACAGATGAATGAGTCCAGACAGAAGAGGGGCAGATCCCAGGCAAAGGCTCTGCCCTCTCTGCTCCTGCTCATTCACTCAGCCAGTGTGCCAGGCCTGCCAGGGGCCTGGAGGGAGGGGGGTTGTGGGGTTTAGTGACGGCAGGAAAACAGATGAGTCAGGCCTGAGGCCTCTCCTCTATCTTCTCAAAATGCCGGGCAAAAATATAACACTGTGCATATTATAATTACTAATGCAAGTGCCAGGTACTATTCTAAGCACTTTACATGTATTTAATCATTTAATGCTCAGAACAAGCCTCTGATGTGGGTACCACCATTAATAGTCACATTTACAGATAAAATAATGAGGCACAGAGAGGTCACACTCCATCTAAAATTAGATGCACAGAAAGAAAAGATGAATTTTCTCACAGTGTTAGAAAGTAACTTATGAATTTTGTTCTCTATAAACCCTCTATTCCAAACATTTTGTTGTATTATAAAACTATGAAAACAATTATTCTTAAAAGTTGTCATTGTCTATTAGAGTCAAAAAAGAAAAAAGAACTGACAGCAGCCCCAAGAAATAAAGAAAACATATGCATTCCAAAGAAGAGAAGGTTTTACTTTTATCCTGGCAATTTGGGCAAAGTGGTTTTTAGAGGCAGCCTTGGATGATGGGGTGTTTTGAGTCTGTGCAGAAAAGGCTAGGGTGTTTGAGGCTGAGGGCCCAGAATGAGAAAAGATATGGGAGTGAGAACATACAGGGCATAGCTGAGAATTGCCAGCAGGTCAGGCCGGCTGCTGTGTGATGCTGAGAGTGGGAGACCAGGCTGGGTCTAGTGTGTGGAGGCCTTGAATGCCAGGCCAAGGAGTCCAGACTTGATTGCATGGATGATGAGAAACCTACAGAAGGTTTTGGGGGCAAAATAGGACTCCCCACACCAATCATTTCCAAAGACAAAAGTCTCCAGGTCTCTGAGACCTCACTGTTTCTCTCCATCACCTCTCCCCCAGCTGCTCCACTGTTCTCTCCACAGTTTCATCCATCTGATCCTCTTTCAAAGGGTAAAGTCTCCACGCACCTGTCTGACCACATCACACCTTCCACTGGCTCCCGCCATCTATGGGATCGCATCCAGATACTGCAGCAGTGTGATGTTCTGGTATCCAGTGTGGAGGGTAGACAGGTGGAGTGTTGGTTGAGGTGGGACTGCCCCAAGAGACTGTCACTCAAACCAGTCAATCAACTTAAGGAAGACTGATGATCCCTGGGGATAAAAAGCTCTGGGAGTGACTCTGTCTTTGTTGAGACCCTTTCCTGAGTGGGAGTTGTCATGGGCTCTTACAGTTCGTAGACAGTTAAAATCAGACAGACAGACAGACACACACACACGGTGGAAACCCTTCAGCTGGCTCTTCTTTGTCATCTTACTCTGAGAGGGCATTGAATTTCTACACATCTCAAATTACCCACCTATGAGTGCGTGTGGGGTATCAGGGTCAGGAAGCCAGAGGCATGAGCACAAACTGCTGGGTGGTCAGAGGGTTTTATAAATCCCTGAGAGAATCTCACAGTTGGCAGAGAGGGTGGAGAAACTCAGGCAGAGGGGACTAAGTTAAGGTCAATCTAACACTCGCCATTGCCAGGCTTCCCTGTGATCATGGGGATCGTGGATGTTATGGATTGAATGTTGTGCCCCCTCCAAATTCATATGTTGAAACTGTAATCCCAATGTGATGGTATTAGGAGGCAGGGCCTTTGGGAGGTAATTGGGTCATGAGGGTGAGGGCTTATGAATGGGACTAGTGCCCCTATAAGAAGAGACAAGAGAGCTAGCTTTCTTTTTTGATACGTGAGGATATAAGAAGGTCGCAGTCTACAACCCAGAACACATTTCTCACCTGAACCTGACCATGATCTCAGACTTCCAGCCTTCAGAACTGTGAGAAACAAGTTTTTGTTGTTATACAACAAAGCCACCCAATCTCTGGTATTTTTGTATAGTAGCCTGAGCTGATTAAGATAGTGGTGCTGGCCATCTAGCAGTGATACATGTCTGCTGTGTGCTAGTGACTATTCTTCACATTTACATTCATTGTCTCATTTAATTCCCTCAACAGTCCTATGAGGCAGGTACTAATATCTCCATTTTATAAGTAAAGAGGTGGAAGCCCAGAGAAGTTAGGGACCTGTTCAAGTTGCACAGCTGGGGTGTGGTGGAGCAGGAATCCATAGCCCAGGCGGTTAACATTGAACTTAAAGGTTTGGACAGGTGGAGTGTCTGACACCAGAGCCTGCACTCTCCCTCCACTACCCCACACTCTGAGCTAAGAACTGAAGGCCTACAATAAGACATATACAGGACCAGTCTCATCTCTGTGCCTCCGGCCTTGGGTTCAGCACCACAAACAGCTCCTCCCAGCCCTTGAGTTATCTAGGGCGCACCATCAGCAATCCTCAGTTGGCTATAGTCACTTTTTGGAGTGACATTTTCACACCATACTGGCTGCCTGAACTAAAAGAAGCCTTCTGGTCGAACCCCTTTCCTGTGTAAAGGAGGAAACTGAGGCTTCAGGGAAGATGGGCGAGCTGCCTTGTTCTAGGCACCAGGGATATAGCAGTAAACAAAACTGATAAAGATCCTACCTTCATGGAGTTCATGTGCCAGTGGGGTCCCAGGATCCTGCCAAGTCTGCCTTGTCTTCTGCCTCCAGACCAGGAGCTCTCCCTGACTGTCAAGTCTTCCAAGGACCCTTTCCTGACTGACAACCCTAGCCTGTCCCCCTCAGTTTTCCAACTGAACATGCACAGGGCTGAAAGGTTCAAGTGGCCACGTTGTCAGGAGCTGCCAGTAATTCCTGGTTTCAGGTTTCAGGTTTGTGTTCCCACCCAGAGAGCAGGAGGCACGTCTTCCCCCTCCTCTCCTCCCTCCTCGTTGCACTAGCTCAGAGTTAGGCATGCAGCACAGATCCTCAAGGACATTTCTTTTGATGGTGGAGACATTGCAACACTCCCATGGCATATTTCTCAGTGCGTCCCAGTTCTTAATGCATCATTCACTTGTTCGTTCACTTAAGGAAAGATAAGATCAAGACTCCTGGAAAAGACCTGGGAATCATCCACTAACAGGAGAGCATTCAGCTGTAGAAGGGATAAGATTCCCCCAGGAGAAGAGGGAAGGCAGAAGGAAGGAAGAGACCTGAGGGCGTGACAGAACCTTGGGGGGAGGGGCACCAACCTCTAGGAAGTGGGCAGGAATAAGGGAGACAGCAGAAGCCATCAGAGGGCCAGGAGGAATTCCCAGAGAACTGCATACTGGAAGCCAGGGGGGAAAGTAGGTTTTCAGAAGGGGAAGCATTATGGTGGAAACACAACTGCCAGGGAGGTCAGGCCCACAGCATGGTAGAGGCCATAGCCTGAGCAAGTCACCACATCTTCATGGCTTAAGGAAGTGGAGGCAGTGCATGCCACACACTCCAGAAAAATTTGATTGAGCCCTAGCTGGTTTGGCTCAGTGGATAGAGCGTCGGCCTACGGACCGAAGGGTCCCTGGTTCAATTCTGGGGAAGGGAACATGCCTGGGTTGTGGGCTCAATCCCCAGTAGGGAGTGTGCAGGAGGCAACCAACCAATAATTATCTCTTATCATTGATGTTCCTATTTCTCTCTCCCTCTCCCTTCCTCTCTGAAATCAATAAAAATATATTTTAAAAATTTTTGATTGAGAAAGGAGAGAAAAATGTGGGCTGGTAGCTGGAGGAGAAAGCAGAATTGAGGAAGGACAATAACTAGATTAAGAAGAAAGAGCCCAGGGGAGGGGAAAAGGGCAGGCCTGAGCTGGAAGGGCCCAGGGAAGGTGCCAGGTAGAGTCCAGAGAAGGCCTCACACCCTCACACTGGATCGGAGGGGAAAGGGCAGATGAATTCCAGAGGAGTCCTGGGTGATTTGAGGGGGCACCAGTCCGAAAGCCAGGCCCTATTGGGTTTGGAGGTGGTGCAGGCAGCAGCAGGAGGATCTGGTTTACCAGGAGGTTTGAGAGAGGAAGAGAAGGGCTGGCCTTGCTTTGTAGGGAACTGGCTGGCATGAGGGGGAAGGCACAGGAGCTGTGGAGGGCTGCTGGGAGTTCCGGGGGGCTGGAGAGAAGAAGTTAGTGGCGGCATCTCCTATTCCCACTAGAGAGGAAGAGGGAGAGGCCAACTGGGCCTGGCCCCCCACGTCACCCGTGAACCCCCCAGAAGCCTGAGGCTGCTCTGACTCTGCTTTCACTCCTACCCAGGCCAGAGAGGGGAGGTTTAAGTGAGGTAAGAAGCAGGGAATGCCACAACGGGGCAGGGACACTGAGGCTTTGCAAGGGGAAGATCGATCAGAGTGAATTCAGTGACACCCAGTGCACACTGCCTGCCAGGCATCTGGCTATCCAGACATGCCTGGACACTCTGGGACAGGCCGTCCCGTCCTCCTATGGCAGACTGCTCCATTCTGTACAGTTTGAGTAGTTCCCAGTTCTTCTCTAAATGAGACAAAGTTGCCCTCTCTATAACTTCCCTGTTTATCCAAAGCCCTCCTGGGGGCCTATAACCCACCAGTCCTGTGATAGGTGTCTCCTGCCCTATGACAGGTGCAGAGATGTCACACACACACACACACACACACACACACACACACACACACACACACCAGCTCATGCCCTCTTTCTCTGACAAGACTTTGGCCACGCTAACAATGGCATTTGGTGTGTTGAGTCTTGCTTTCGAGAGTACATGTTTACTCTGGAGGCCACTGTATGGGTGGTAAGAGTTGGGGCACAGGGATTACCTTGGGGTCCCACTGTCAACCTATGACAGTGCTTGGGGTCAGAACATTTATCAGGTTTCCTGATTTGCAGCCTATAATTCCCTGACCTGAGATCTGGGCTGCCTCTCCCACTCTTGGGCCATAGATAGAACCCAGGGAGCAGGGGCAGGTCCCAGTGATGCCCTGGTGCCCTGCCTTGTGCCTGGGCCAGGCTGGAGCTTCCAGTGGACAGAGTTCATGTCTCTCTTCTCTTCCTTGCAGACCCCCAACTCTCAGAAGGAGCATTTGGAAAGGCCCCTCTGGCACCCAGCTGCTGTCTGAGCCTGCACCCTCCCTTCCCCTGACCCCACACAGGTGGCACTCACATGTGGCCTCCAGGCCGGTCCTCCCTCGTGAGCATTCCCTCCTTCTCCATCAGCATCTGCCGGAAAGTCCTGACCTTCTGCCGGGTTTCCTCCTCAGAGTACCTGCAGGGGTGCAGGGAGGGTGATGACTGCTCTCTTCCTGCCTGTGTCCTCCCCTGCCCCTCCCCAAGCCCTGTCAAAAGAGCACTTTCCAGCTTGGGCTGATCTGTCCAAGCAAGGCTTTCAACGCTGAGGAAGCTCAAGGCCTGCCCGCTTTGTACCAAAGCAGCCAACAACCAACTAAACAAACAACCAGCCAGGCAAACAAATAAATGAAAGGAAGATTTGTTCCCAGAGGTGGGGAGACCAGCTAGGT